GTATAGCCCTGTATAGCTGTGTATAGCCCTGTATAGCTTTGCAATCCCACCTAGTCCAGGTGAAGCCTGGGGAAGAAGGGTACAAGTACCTCCAGATGTCGGTCACGCAGCACGATTGGAATAAGTGACTGAGTGCAGAGGAGCTCTCACGGGATATGCAAGCGTGGTCAGAACCGCAACGGTTGAGAGACCTGTCAAAGACCGCATTGAAGTCGACAGCCAGAATAGTTGGGATCGAGGGATCAATTCAGGTATGTAGGTTATCAAAGAAATCGTCACGTGCAGGGTTGCGGTTAGGGGCGTATAGACACACAACACGGAACACTTTACCAAGAAAGGAAACTTCGCACTGAAGATAACGACCAGCGTCGTCACACCAAGAATGGTTTAGAGACAAAGAGGGACGAAAGAGAATTACACAACCACAGGAATGGACAGAACCGGGCGAAAATACAGCATTAAAAGCAGAAGAAGAAAACCAGGAAGAACATTTAGACACAGAGGAAACATGGGTCTCCTGAAGGCAGACAACGTCTGCACTCACAGGTAAGTTCCGCAACCACTGCACGAGGCCGATGCGTTTGGATTGGTCCCTGATCCCATTACAATTTAAGGTAAGTATGGACAAAGCCATTAGAAAACGGGAAGAGTGCCCATCATTTCCTTTTAGAAACACCCTGACTAGTGGCCAACCTGGTAGCCGCATTCGACATCTTGGGAATAGAGTGATGGCCAGGGGTCTCCTTTGAAGATCTTTTGCGAGGGCTGCGCGACCTAGATGGACGCGGAGAATCAATTGTACCGTCAGATGAGACTTCGGAAGCAGATTTTTTAAGAGGCCCAGGGGCGTGGGGCATTTCGTCGTCCTCCAACTGGGAGGCGTAGGCCCAGCACGGAGGAAAAGGTTCATCCGCAATGCTTTCTAAGTTATATAAACTAGTAACAGTACTTAGTGTAGGGTCTTCACCTTAATAAACTGTACTATTTTTGTACTATTATTTATACTATTATTTGTGCTATTATTTGTACTATTGTTTGTAATATTATTTGTACTATTATTTGTGCTAATATTGGTTTCGTTAACTAAGTTTTCACTACGATTACTAGGATTACCAGAATTGCATTCATCAATACTCTCATCAAACAGATCAGGCTTTGCGGACCCACTTGGGGCAGGGGTCTCCTTGTCAATCAAAAATCCACCAGTGCTGAGAATACGACTAGGGGCGTCCCCCTCGTCGACCACCACAACACCATCTGATGGCTCAGGACTGACATCCGGAGCGGCTGCATGACCCTCGGGTACAGCTTCCTCAACGGCGCTCGCGTGAGTGGAACCGTGGGGAGCATCTGCATTGACATCAGAGCCAGAGGCAGGCTCAGGAGCGCCCTGCTTGCGATCTTGATTTGGGCCCGAAACAGCAGTCTGACGACCCCAAACCAGGGGACAAGTTCGGGAAAGAAGCCCAGTCTGGTGGCACCTAAAGCATTTGCCTTTGTCGGGGCAGGAAGAGGACTTGTGTCCAACCGCACGACAAACGGAGGGGCTACCCCCTGTACCATATCTTGCACCTGACTCCGTTGATGACAATGAACCTGGGTATTTCCCTGCGACACACCATGCGGACCAGACGGGTTCCAGTGGACACTGCTGGCCTCGCAGACCATTTCTGGAAGTTGACACTCTTAACATCTCCAAATGGGCTCAAAGCAGCAGATATTGGCTCAGTAGGACCCTCGAAGGGGTACCAAAATACATTTACCAAGGTGACTTGGGGGGGGGGAGCGGTGGGGGTTTGATGACCTTACACGTTACCCCGTTAATAGTAAACACGCCAAGCCCTTCATAGTAGGTTTTGGCTTGCTCAACATCAAAAGTTACACGGGCAACACAATTCAGGACGGCCTGAATGGACACAACTTTGTGTGGAGAGTCCTCAACATAAAAGGCATAGATAAGACCAAACACATCGTGGGGTAGCATCCTTACAGGGAAATGCTCACAACGGACGTCAAATGTCCTAGGCAAGGACAAGACCATTATGAAGGCAGGAAAGAGAAAAAAAGGGGCAAAAAACACCCAAAAAAGGTCCTAAAGGGCCAACTAGCGAAGTTGGAAACCAACCAGACGAGCAGGATAGTTGATGGGTGACCAAAGTCACCAAAAAGAAAAAGGAAAGGAGAAATCCTCACAATAAATACTCACGCAAATCCTGCTTACAAGGTATGACGTCTTCCAGAGAGTAGAATCACCTCAGCTGTCCGCAGAGTAGAGTTTACCCGCGTCAGGTTAGTATCAATAACACGTTTGCTGGCTTGAGGTGTAATGTTTGCTAATTAAGGGCCTTCATCGACATCCGCCGTATTCAGATAGTTCAAGTGTTGTTCACATTCTAGCGAAATATTCAAGGTAACTTCATTAGATAAAGGTAACTTACGGAGAAGACAGGCATTGCAAATCCAGTTTGTCGCTAGAACACTTTTGGGCTGTTTTGGGTTTGCTCCACTATAGTTGACATGATAGCGTTCCTCGCAGTCGCTACAGACTAGCCCCCGGTGTTTTCGGGAGATTCCTTTCGAGCTATGATGACATTTATCTGATCCAGGGTTTAAACTGATATCTCCACTAATGAGGAGCCGCATTGGCAAGAGTACCATATAACCCCATGCATTAATTATTCAGTGAGATACGATGAAGATATGAAGTTCATATATTTTGAACTGCGGTATTGGGTACGTATGATGCACGATCCTCGCAGTAGATAGCGCTATTTATGCAATAGCGAAAATCAGACCTGAAAAAAATCAGGCCTGTACGGGACTCGAACCACTGACCTCTGCGATACTAGTGCAGCGCTCTACCAATTGAGCTAACAAGCCAACTGGGAGCAGGCCATCAAATTAATTCGATATAAACCCGTAGATGATAAATCAAACAACAACAAACATATGAAACATATGTGTGAACTGCGGTTATGAGACGTATATGAGAACGATCCTTCGCAGTAAAGCACTATTTGAGCAATAGTGAAAATCAGACCTGAAAAAAATTTCAGGCCTGTACGGGA